CCCCTCCTCCTCCTCCTCCTCCTCCTCCTTCTCCTCCTCCTCCTCCTCCTCCTCCCTCCCGTCTTCCCTCCTCCGTGCTCCTCCATCCCTCGGCGCTCCCCCTCCCTCCATCCCCCCCCCCTTCCTCTGGCCAGGCGACTATCCAGTGCAGCGACCGGACGCGCCACGTCCTCCTTTCCTTGCGACTCCGCAAGGCGCCCGGGCGCCCGGGCGGGCTTGAGGGTGGCCCGGCCCGGGCGCGTGAGGAGGAGGCTAAATCGAAGGAGGGTCAGACAGTGGTTGTTTCTTGGCCTTCGGGGGGAGTCCTCGTCGCCACGGCTGGACCCAGCTCGGAAAATTCGATACGCCCCGCGTATCCGCACCAGCCCATCCAGGCACGATGCCCAGGCGAGTTGACAATGACGGCATCAATGAGTCAACCATAAAAAGCATTCACGGACCTTTCATTCCGCAACTTTCTCGGAAGCTTTTTGTAGCCACTTTGTTTCCATGTTGGAAAGCCGTGCAGCCCCTCTTGGGGCCCGCTTGGGGCCCTCTAGGGGCTCTTCGGTGGAGTATTGGCGCCATCCTGGGGCGATTTTAGACCCCATCGCCCAAAAAGGGTAAAGGTTGAAATTCAGGTCCACCCCCCATCGGAGGCCGCGAAATGGGCCCTTGGGGCGCTCTTGAGGGCCTCTTCAGCGCGCTTGTGGCCATTTTGAGGCACTCTTGGGACCCTCTTGGGGCTTTCTTGGGCCGTCGTGGTGCCATCTTGTAGCCATAAGCGCCCACCGGAAGCGAAAAGGCGAGAAGGAAAAACATTGATTTTCCATTAGTTTTGAAAGGGTATTGTCGTCTTGGGGAGTACTTTTGACGGCTCGGAGGGCACTCGGAACAGTGTTGGTGCTGTCTTGGGGCATCTTGGAGGTTTGTCGGAAGCTATCGTGAGACATCTTCGGCTATCATGGGCGATCTTGGAGCATTTGGAGCCCTCTTGGCGCCAGCCTGCGCCATCTTGGACTTTCCAATGGGTCGCCCCTCCCCCCCGTCCAGACCCAGGGGGAGGGGGTAGAGGGGGGGTCAAGTTCCCGGCGACAATCAGGCGATCGCAAACATGGATCAAGGGGGCGTAGATTAGCGACGGGTCCCGCTTCCATGGGAAATCGCGGATTCCCGCCGCCGAGCGAGGCGGCACCGGCCGCACTTCCCCTGATCCATGGATTCAGCGACCGCGCGCCAATTCCATGGATCGCTAATCCATGTTTGCGCGCCCCCGGGAGAACGTCGCAAGCTGTCTCGCTCACTCCCTCCCTCCCGCCCTCCCGCTACAGAAGTAGCACCCGAGTCTCAGCACAGGCAGGAGCCGCCATCGGGGCCCAACGCCAACGCCTGCAAGGCGCGCGACCAGGTGCGCCACGCGCACGAGGTGAGCCACATTGGGCAACGTGTCGACCCCCCCACACACCATCCCTGTCAAAAGCCACTGCAAAGAGACAGCGGGTTTCCGAGCATTGTACGCTGGGTGTGGGTGCGCACCCGCAATCACTTCGCGCTCGTTTTTGACAGGGATGCCCGGCCTGCACACAGCCGGCAGTATGCCGCCCCCTCTCTTGCCGTCCCCGCAAAGTGATCGATGCATGTTTTGTTGGAAGGGGTAGTGGTCTTGCACGCAGCAGGCAGTGTGCTGGCCCCCCCGCCGTCCCTGCCAGAAGCTAATTCAAAGCGATCGCGGGGCGCCCGCGTGCATGATCCAGATGTCGCTGCAAGGTGTCATGTGTACCCTTTGTTGCAAGGGGTGGTCGGGGGGTGTTGGCAATTCACACAGCAGGCAATCTGCCCCCCCCCGCCGTCCCTGTCAAGACCAATGCAGAGTGATCGCGGGGCCTCCGCGCATGATTTGGATTTTGGTGCCTCTGCACAGATTCCGCAAGAGATGGAGGGATGTTGGCTGTACACAGCAGGCCATATGCCCCCCCACCTGCCGTCCCTGTCAAAAACCAATGCAAAGTGATGGCGGGGCGTGCGCGCATGATCCAGACTTTTGGTGCAAAGTGCACATGGCAGCGTTTCTGTTGCAAGGGATGGGGTGGGGGTGTCTCAGCTAGCACTCCCCCGAGCAGGGCAAGACCTGTGCGGGTGAGGCCGGCATTGATGGTCCCGAAGAGCAGGGTAGGCCAAGAAGGGGGGCGCGGGGGGGCCACTTGAGATCCGCGCGTCGCAATGTTTGTCACATTGGGCGTCCTCGCCTGGCCTCGAACTCCAGGGCCCTAGCAGATCGATCCAGCTCGAGAGGTAGAGGGCTGGCTCTGATTTTGTCTTCTCGCGATGTTGCAATTTCAATGTTTCGCGACTCTGGAGCTCACGGGATGGGCGGGGGAGGGGGAAAGCGGAGGGAGAAGTGGGAGGGAAGGGCGGGCGGGGAGAGCATTGGAAGAGGTTGGCATTGGTTGTGGTGGTGGAGGAGGAGGAGGAAGAGGAGGAGGTGCGGGAATAGAAACCAAGACATTCGTCGCTTCGATTTGTTCGATGCGTGGGCCCCCTGCTTTCTCGACCCCTTCCCCAGGGCTGGCGGTCCATCCCGAATAGTTTTTTCATAGCCCCAGGGCCCCAAAGCGGCCTCCAGGGGCCAAAAATGACAAACTGGCCGCCTCGATTTTTTCCAAGTGCCTGACGTCTGGGAATAAGCCGAGAGGTGGCGCGGTAAGAGGCACCAAGGCAACGATTCCCAGAAGGAACCGATTTTGGACGTTTTCGGCCTCCCGAGGCCTTCCCAGCGCCCCAGGACCGTCCAGGCACGATTCGGGACGACAAGATGGTCCCGAGGAAAGCCCTGTTCGGGACCCGGGTGCTCAAGGGCTCGTCTCCTTCACGCGAAGGGGAGGGGGGGGAGGGGAGAGGAGGGGAGAAGAGAAGGGTGCGAGCAGGCGGGAGCAGAGGAAGAGGTCGGCAGCAGAGAAGAAGGAGGTCGAGGAGGAAGTCGAGGAGGAGGAAGAGGAGGGGGAGGAGGAGGAAGAGGACGAGGAGGAGGAAGAGGAGGTCGAGGGAGAAGAGGAGGAGGAGGAGGAGATCGAGGAGATCGAGGAGGAGAAAGGAGGAAGAGGGGGGGGAGGAGGAGGCCGAGGGGGAGCGGAGGAGGACGACGAGTGCTCAGTAGGATGGCGCCGGCCCTGCGTCGCCCTCGCCCCCCCCTCCTCGTCGTTCCACCCTCCTCCCCTCCTCCTCCTCCTCCTCCTCCCCCCCTCCTCCCCCCCTCCTTCCTCCTCCTCCTCCTCCTCCTCCTCCTCCTCCTCCTCCTCCTCCTCCTCCTCCTCCTATCCTCTCCTCCTCCTCTTTCTCCTCCTTCTCCTCCTCCTCCTCCTCCTCCTCCTATTCCTGCTCCTCCTGAAATCCTGATAGCTTGAAGGCATAACAGCTCGTCGAACGCCTCCTCCTCCTCCTTCTGCTCTTCCTCTTCCCTCATCACTCTCCCTTCTCCTCCTCCTCCGCCGTCTTCCTCCTCGTCGTGAACAGACAATTTCCTGGTTTCGTCTCTCACACCGTGAAGGACATTTTCTGTAGGGGAGGTCGGCCGTCCGCCACAGCGCCACCTGCGCCGCGCGCCGCACCCGCTCTGCGCTTCTCTGATTTGCTGTGGATCGACTGTGCAGATCCGTGATCCTCCTCTTCTTCCTCACCCTTCTCCCCTACGGTTGCTATCACGTCGACCACCCTACGACTGCATCGCGTCCTCATCTTTCGTCCCCCTTCCTCTACCTCGCCCTCCTCCTCCTCCTCCTCATTCTCCTCCTTCTCCTCCTCTTCCGCCTCCCCTACAGCTGCTTTCCTATCCACCTGCGCCCCAGGATTGTGGCGCCTCGTCCCCCCCCCATCCCTCGTCATTATTTGGTCTCCTTCCGTCGTCATCACCATCGTCATCATCATCATCATCATCATCATCATCATCATCATCATCATCATCAGCAGCAGCAGCAGCAGCAGCAGCAGAGCAGCAGAGCAGCAGCATCATCATTATTATCATCAGCATCAGCATCAGCATCATCATCACCACCACCATCACCATCATCATCATCACCATCATCACCATCAGCAACATCATGCTTCGCGACCGACGCCACCCTGACCCTGGACGATGCGGCTGCTAGGGTCGCAAGGTTTCGCTCTGTACCCCTTCCTTTTCGCACTCTTATTCTACGAACTTGGACGCACGGATGGTTTACGATACGCAGGATGCCCGAACCCACCCGGCACGCTTGCTACGTCTGTGGCCGCCCGGATGCGGACCAGAAGCATGATTTAGAGTGCGACGGTTTTGGGGACCTCTTCGAGAGTTGGCCGGACTCGACTCCGACCTCGACCCGGTGACCCGTGAGCTGTTAGGGTTGTGCACCGTGGTCGGCATCTACCGGGTCGCTGCCGCCCACAAGGTCTTCCGCTTCATGAGAGAGCAGGTCTTGAAGGGCGGGCGTCCGCATGAGGTGCTGTACAGCACCGTCGGTGCCACGCGCCGAGCTCCCGGTCGCTTTCCCGCGGCCACGCTTCGGCGCTGTGTTGCCGCCGCCCCTCTTCATTGATTCTGCCGCGCCTCTGCTGATCCGCGATCACCATCAGCATCAGCAGCATCATCATCCTTATCATCATCCTCATCTTCGTCAGCACCAGCATCATCAGAAACATCAGCATCATCACCATCATCATCATCATCATCATCATCATCAGCCTCATCACCATCATCATCCTCATCAGCATCATCTGCATCATCATTATCAGTAGCATCCTCATCGTCGTCGTCAGCGTCAGCATCAGTATCAATATCAACATCGGCATCATCACCATCATCATTACCAGCATCATCACTATCGCCATCCTCATCATCCTCATCAGCATCAACATCAGCATCATCATCATCTCCGTCATCATCATCCTTCCCCTCTTTCTTCTCCTCTCCCTCCCCCACGGTCGCTCCCCTATCCACCGGCACTCCAGAGTTGCCTCGCATCCTCCTCCCTCATCCTGTGCTTTTCCTCCTCCTCCTCCTCCACTTTCTCCTCCCCTTCCTCCTCCACTTTCTCCTCCCCCTCCCCCTCCTCCTCCTCCTCCTCCTCCTCCTCCTCCTCCTCCTCCTCCACGCTGCTTTTCTGTCCGCGCCCCTTGCCCATCAGGGCTACATCGTGTATTGCTTCTGCTGCTTTCTACTCTCGGTGGTGGTCCCTGGCCCACCGCACGCGACCGCGCGCTGGGACTGCCACTCCGTTGCACATCCCTGACAGCGACGAGGTGGGGGAGAGAACCAGGGAGTAGGAGGAGGAGGAGGAGGAGGAGGAGGAGGAGGAGAGGAGCGAGGAGAGAGGCAGGCTGTGTGTGCTCGCGCCATACCTTCCCCTCCCACCCACCCTTTTCCATTGCGCTGATGTTTTGTGTCTGTCCGTCGTCGCGTGTCACAGCGAATCTGGATCTCCCCCCCCAAAAGAAAACATCGTGGTATGCGCAATTGGACAATAGGAGGAGGGGGAGGACGAGGAGGATCGGATCGCATCGGATCGGAAGGGTCCGCGAAAGATCTCCACAGGGAAGTTTTTTCCGGGTGTGCGCAATAAAACGAATCTTCTGCAGACCAGAAGGGCTCGCTGACGGGCCAAGAGGCAAGCCTCTAAGAGTATCACGATATGGTCGAAATGGAAAACTCGGCGAAAAAAACCAAGCAGAACACCTTACGATTGAAGTCTCAGGAAGAAACCCATCCCAATATAGATAAATGACTAAACCACTGAAACCACTCAAACAATCCTCTTTCTCTTTTACAAATGGCACAAGCGGGGCGCGCCTGAATGGCGCAGTTGATGCGCATGGCCCAAATGCAGGCGCGGGCGCGGGCGGAAGGCAGAACGAGGATAGCACTCTCTCCCAATCCCCATCCTCTGACTCTACAAGCTTCTCCCCCCGAATCTAGACACCTGCTGTGGAAACTTGGAATCATCTATGCAAGTCAGCCTGGGTCTTATCACTGGACCCACGAGGCTGGACCTCTTGTGGCGGCCCGGAAAGATTCAAAGCCTGAATTGGACGCCTCCGAGCTTCTTATGTTCGCTGTCTTCTCCGTCTGAGGGCTTCAGCGCGCTTGGTGGCTATCCGAGCCAGGACAGCAGCCGATAACTGGGGCGGTGGTGGAGGAGGGGGGGCGGGGACGGAGAGGGCGGAACAGAAATCCACGGATCGTGCTGAGACTCTTGGTAATTGTGGACGTGGCTCACGGGCAAATTATGTAGCAATCGAGTGATTGGCGAGGTCATCACCTCGTTGCCCTGATTGGCATGGAGTCAACACTGCCTTGATCGCAAGGGTGGACACCTGGCGTACAGACCTCTGGAGAGCAAAAATCTTGACTCATGGCCGGTGCATTGGCGTCGATGGAGGCCGAAGAGCTAAAACAACTGAACAGATGTTCACATTGCTGCCTGCCATCTTCCAAGTCTAATTCCAACATCGGCAAGATGATACCGAACATGGCTCTACCTACTACTGCACACAACGCTTGAGCATAAACCTTCTTCCTGGCTGTTCTGAAAGCTCCCTCATGATTCTTACATAAAGTCGTCTGGTGGCCTCTAGGACCGTGGCTGCACTTGCCACCACCAGGCGTGTCAGACAGGGCGATGGCTAGGAAAGCAGACGCACGGCTAGGATACCTGTCGGGGCTCTCCCGTCCTGTCCGAGATCACAGTGGTCAAACTCCGAAAGATGACACGCTGGGGATGCCCACGAGGGCCTTGGTGGGTCTAAAAGTCCACGAGGGGACCGAGCGGGGCTCCCAGGCGGGCGAAGCTGGATGCTCCACCCACCCACATCCTCCAGCGACTGCCATGACACATAACAAGTGGTGGCCGTGTAAGGAGCACAGGCCACATTCACCTGAAGCCGTTGCCTAGGAGTGAGAGCCGCCAACCCCCATAAGGGGCATTCCAGGATCTAAGCGGAGGGGGGCCACCGTCTTTCCACCGAGTTGCCGAAAAAGTTTCGCACGGGGGGGCCCTCTCCAAACGCAGCCACTCGTCCAGCTTACATGCGTCTAGACCAAAGCTCTCATGTAGACTGCTTACGAAGATTCCCGACATCTGCGTCTAGGGGGGAGGATATCTACCGAAAGGACACGCACTTCTTACCGAAGCCAAGATCCGTTCTAATGATGCTTCAACAGGACGTTGCTGAATATCACCTTTCCTACGCTGGCCGGAGACAAGGTTGGCTATAAAACATGTCCGGCGATGCAGTCTGCAAGATGGCTGATGTGCTCACATCCTAGCAAATTAACCTGGATCAAAAGGCCAATCAAGAAACAAGCCCCCCAACCGATCTGGAGGCTGGGGGCTGAAATGGCAAGTCCTCTAGGATCTTGCGTGACCATCCAGTGATGTGTATTAAACCTGTTCGATCATACTCTTGAGCCTGGTCCCTTGGATACATAACCTTGAACATTCTGGGTGCAGGGTGAAGGGCCGGGCAGCGACTCCTGAGGGAACGGAAGCATGGGATGTTGAGTAGTTTTTCTTGAAAGCATCTCTATTTGTTCGCTTCTCTTGTTCTGCCAGCTCCTAGACAACTTCCAGAGCCAGGTGCGGAACATGGTGAAGTGGAAAATCAAACACGTGGGACGCCAGGTCGTAAAATGCATGATCAGCGTTGACCTTGACTCAAGAACTCTGAGACAGGGTAGGCACCGATTGCCAGAAACGTGCCGTCTTGTAATGCCTGAGAGTGTGGTATGCACGGCTCGGATGTGGTCATCCACGGAAGGCATATTTCTTGATGTAAAGTCGCAATAATGGCATTTAAACGGAAGGCAAGGAAGGGGAGAAGGAACATCTCTTGGGGAAGGGAGGCTTTCACTGGTGAGGAGGGGTCAGGAGCTGTTTCTCCCAAAACGAGCCCTCGAGGTCTCTTCTTGCCTTGTCGATGGTTGCCTTAGTAGCCTCCTGAATGGCTCGTAGCCGCGCGCCACGGAAAGATTTCATCATAGTGTCCCACGCACCTGAATCCGATGACGGTAGAGGCATGACCTGGAACCCATGGTGGCACGAAGGCAGCCAAACAGCATCATCCAGAATATGATGCATCCAGGAGTTATGTTTGGCTCTATGGTGAGCCTGACCGTATTGCTAAGACCTTGCGGCCAGTGCCGCCGACCCTGACGACGACGACGAATACGAGGAGGAGGAGGAGGAGGGGGATCAAGGTGGAAGGGAGCAGGAGAAGGCGAAGGAGATGTTCCCCATGTCGGCCGAGGGAGTCGTAGCAGAGACAGACAGGGAGCCCTGTGGCCTGCGGTCCTTCCCGCTACCGTGCTGGGGTTGTGATTGAAAGGCCTCTTGGATTTTTTCGGGCCTGTTGGGGCATCTGTTGGGCCTCTTGGGGGTCTCTTGGGGGCCTCTTCGGGCCCCTTGGGGGGCTCTTGGGGCCTTCCGGGGGCTTCTTGGGGCAGGAAGCTCGAAATGTCGGTTCGTGGTTCTCTTCTTGGGCCTGCTTGGGGCCGTTTTGTTGTGTCTTGTCGCTTTGGGGGGCTCCGGGACGTCCGGGGGCGGATGCGTATCTGACCCCTCCCCCCCAGGACCCCCCCCCCCCCCTCGCTCGGCGGGGGAGGGATCAAAGGGAAGGGGCTTCCCTTCGAGTTAAGTGCGACGTTGCTACTGTTTTCTCTCGCCGGCAGGCTTGAAAAGGATGGTGCAGGGAAAGGGGACGACGGAGACGCAGGGAAAGAGCACACCGGATGCGTCGACTAAGCGCACGCCGACAGGGGGTCCACACGCCGACAGGGTCGGCGGATTCAGCATGTAGCAGCGCTAGAAGAGGTGCGGCAACAAGGCCTGACCAGATAGGCGCAGACGTGCCGCCCTTAGCACAGCGACGGCAGCGGGTCTAAGCGCAGCAGCCAGAACATCATCGCCTGACGGCCCTCCTGCGTCAAAACGTGAAAGGCGGAGGACACGTCAGCACCGTCGAACTCACCAGGAGCGAACGCGGACAATGTCGTTGCCCAGCAAATCATACCATGCGCCTGATCTGTACAACGCCGAGAGGACGAGGAGCATGAGCAGGAGGAGGAGGAGCAGATGGTGGCGGATGGGCAGGAGGACGAGCAGGAGGAAAAGGAGGAGGACTAGGAAGGAGGATGACGAGGACAAATAGCAGCAGCGGGAACTGGAGCGGATGGAGCGGGAGGAGTAGGACCAGGAAGGCGGAGGAGGGGAAAGAGGGGGGGAAACAACGATGAGGAAGCACTCGGATCCAGAAAAATTGCCCGCGGTTGGGCGAGAACGCCATGTCAGAACGACGTGAGCAATGCTGAGGGGCCGAGAAGGTCCGGATTGGAGAACCATAAGGAACAGCGACAGTGACACCATCCTGTCTATAAAACAGCACGCAGGGGAGCCGGGCGACGTTCCAGCCACCTTCAGGGGGGGGGAAGAGAAAAGTGTTCATATTGAGTGGCTGCAGAGAGGAGGGAGGAGAGAGGTAAGCTAGGTCCTAGGTGCGCTCGCGCCATGTCTCAGATCCTACCACTCCCACTCATCCTTTGAAATTGCGCTGGTTTGTCTTGATCCGCGGACGCGTGCAATATCGCACCTGAAACTCCAACGAGGACCCCATTGTGTCATGCGCAATCGGAGAAGGGGAGCTGCGTACAATGGCGGAGGAGGTGGCGGACGAGCAGGAGGATGAGCAGGAGGAAGGGGAGGAGGACGAGGGGGAAAGAGAACGAGGAGGAACAGCAGCAGCAGGAGATGGAGTAGCAGAAGCGGGATGAGCAGGAGGACCAGCGGAGGATTGGGGAGGGGAAAGGAGCGGGGCGACAACGATTATGAGGCCCGCGTTGCAGCGGGAGCACCAATTTGACACCGAACGCCCCTGTTGAAAACCAACAGACGACGTTGAAAAAACATGTTGTGTATGTGAGTGTGTGAAAACACTACGTGGAGGGGTTCATTCCACTCCCTGGCCATCGTCAAGGCAGAGAGGGGAGTAGTACGGATTCATTTTGAGTAGTCGTAAACAGGAGAGGGGAGAGGAGAGTGGAGGGTGGAGAATGGAGAGAGGAGAGAGGAAAGAACAGAGTCCAGGTGCGCTCGCGCCATATCTGACATACTACTCTCCCCCCACCGATCCCTTCCCACTGCGCTGATATTTTGTCTATCCGCCGACGCGTGCTATAGCGGACCTGGAGTGCCAAAAAAGGATCCCATCGTGTCGTGCGCAATCGAAAAGGGGAAGCTGCGAACACTGGAGGAGGAGGAGGAGGCAGTGGAGGATCAGGAAGATGAGAAGGAGAACGAGGAAGGGAGGAAGGAGATCGAGTGCGAGAAGCGGGAGGAGCAGGAGGACCGGGGGGAGGCGAGGGAGGGAACATGAGCGGGGCAACGGAGACGAGGAAGCGCACTCGGATCCAGAAGAATGGCTCGCGCTGGAACGAGAGCGCCATTCCAGAACGTCGGGAGCAACGGCCCGATCCTAAAACGAGGCCCGCGCTGCACCGGGAACATTTTTTGAGCACCGCCAACGTTCCGTCTGACCAGAAGCACCAGAAGCATCAAATCATGAAATCCTTCGTGCCAAAAAGCAAGGCGCGGAGGGGGGTGGGTCACTCCACGGCCATCTTTGGGGGAGAGGGGAGAGTAGTGTTCATATGAGGAATTGTAGAGGCAAGCTAGGCACTCTCTCGCCACATCTGACATCATATCCCTCCCACCCATCCCTTCCCACTGCGTTTTTTTCTATATCCGCGGATGTGTGTCATAGAGGATCTGAAACATCGTGTCATGCGCAATCGGATAAAGGGCTAAGTACGTACATAGGAGAGGAGGAGGAAGAGGAGGAGGAGGAGGAGGAGGTCGAGGAGGAGCAGGTGGTGGCGGATGGGCAGGAGGACGAGCAGGAGGACGAGGAGGAGGGGGAAGGAAGGAGGACGAGGACGAACAGCATCAACAGGAACTGGACTGGAAGGAGAACCAGGGGAAGTCGGACGGGGGGAAATGAGGTGGGAGACAGCGATGGGGAAGGACTCGGATCCAGAAAAGAGGCCCGCGCTGGGGCGAGAGCGCCATTCCGGAACGGCGGGAGCAGAGCCGCGATCTTCAAGCGAGGCCCGCGCTGCAGCGGGAGTACACTGTCGGAAGGACCGAGGCCGTTCGGTTTGAAGCAAAACGCGCACGACACCACGAATTCGGCACAAGCCAGTGTGTCAAAAAGCAGCACGCGGATGGGGGGGGCGCGCGCCTCTCGGCACGTCTTCGGGTGAGGGTGGAGGGTAGTACTCACACTGGGCAGTTGCACCGATGAGGGAGGGGGGAAAAGAGGAGCAGGAGCAGGAGCAGGACACATCACGACAAAGTAGGAAGCGACCGCAGGGGGCCATGGCAGCACAGGCCCCCTCACCGGAGAAGTAGTGCTGAAATGACGGGCGCAATCGAGCGCCACCGACAGCCGCTTCAAAGCATCAAGTGAGGCTTACGCACGGCTGCTGGAGAGGACTGTCGGCTGCGGAACCCAAGCTGAACATTCAGGATTTCCAAACACCTCTGGCTGTGGGGCAAAAATACAAGCTGCGCAGGGCAAACTCATACATCACGATCTTCTGGGCCATGTCTGGATGGAGCGTATTCATCTACTAAGTCGTTACTGAATCTGTTGATCCGCTCCCGCGCTGGCGTGCGCAGGTCTGTGTCACCTCGTTCATGCGCATCGCCAACGCGAAGCTCGCCGGCGAGGCCGCGGGGGTCTGAGCGCGGGTGTGGAGCACGGACGGAGGGTGAAGAGAGGCGGCCCGGGGTGGAGGTGGGGGCGGGAAGAGAGAGAGCGGTGGGCGAGCTGAGACAACGGCAGTTGGCCTTCGGAGGGGGCCCTCGTCGCCACGGCTGGACGCAGCCCGGAAAATTCGTGCGTTCGGACCCCAGGAGGGGTCAGGGGACCGATTTCGAGCCACCGTTGTCTCAGTCTGCCATGCTCCGAGAGGGGGAAGAGAGGCGGCCAGGGGATGAGGTGGAGGAGGAGAGCAGGTAAGGGTGATGAGGAGGAGGAGGAGGAGGAGGAGGAGGAGAAGTAGGACGAGGACGTGGCGACGGCCATGCGCCCGCACTTTTCCTGTGTTCCATTTCTGGCCGTGCGCTGCATCCCCTGATATGTGGGGCGCGCTCATGATCGCAGACGATGTCGCACAAGGAGGAGAAGGAGTACGAGGAGGAGGAGGCGGAGGATAATTCCCCCTCTTCCTCGTCCTTCCTCCCCTTCGGAAATTTAGAAGAGAGGCGGCCAGGGGATGAGGTTCGGAGGCCCAGAGGGTGGCACCAACAGCAATATCGGCGGTGTGCATCCGCCGACAGGAGCATAATGTTCACATGAGTGGCGAGCGAGGGCCAAACTTCGAAATCAAACCGCACTCCACCGTTGTAACTTTTGCGCGTACCCGTGCTTCGGATTGCCGAACCCTGGAAGGTCTCACGCGAAAACCTCGCTTTGACAAGACATCGCCCTCCATCGGTGTGAACTTTGCACAGTCTTGAAGCTCCAGGTCATGAAGCTGGACTGACTTTTCAACGGGTGTCAACATTTGGAAAGCAATAGTCTTCCATCGGTATAGTTAACGTAAACAGTCAAGATGAGAGTGCGTGGCGCTGCTTCGATAATCACATCTTGACAGCGGGATGCTCTCATGCGAAGCTGCCAGGAACTGTTAGGACGAATACGCGCGGCGCTTCGGCGAAAACGTTGTTTAGAACACAACAGTTGGCGTCCATCCTTATAACTCTTGTGGGTTCCAAACCCTACGGACTAGCATTGTGAAGCAGTCTCAATCGAAACGCCCGCCCCACCCAAACGATACGTCTAACCAGGATGGCTTGTAGAGGAAAAGGAGGACGCAGGAGTTGGTAGAAGGGTGAAGGCGAAGCGACGGAAGCAGTTCTGCAGGGAGGAAGGCCTCCCATCCCCTTGCCATCCCCTCCTCCCTCCCTCCTTTCCTCCGTCCCCGCCCCTTCTCCTCCCGGTCCCCTCTTCCCTCCACTAGCTCCCATCGCATCCTCTTTTGCTGCCTCCTCGAGAGGCCATTGGAGGCCCCCCGAGGGGCTTCCTAAGGACCGGCCAGGGCCAAGAGCGTCCGAAAACCTCGATCGCCGATCTTCTCTTGTCAGCTCTCTTCCTCCCCTTCATCCTCCTTATGTTTATGCAGCTGTTTCCTTCTCTATCGTCTTCGATCATCCCTCTTTGGGAATCCTGAGGCGTCCGCCTCCACCGCCTCCTCCTCCTCCTCCTCCTCCTCCTCCTCCTGCTCCTCCTCCTCCTCCTCCTGCTCCTCCTCCTCCTCCTCCCCCTCCTCCTCCTCCTCCCCTCCTCCTCCTCCTCCTCTTCCTCCTCTTCCTCCTCCTCTCTTCCTCTCTTCTCCTCCCTCCTTCCTCCTCCTCTCCTCCTCCTCCTCCTCCTCCTCCTCCTCCTCCTCCTCCTCCTCCTCCTCCTCCTCCTCTCAATCCTCCTCCAGGGGGCGCGCACCCCATCGCAGCCCTCCCCCTCCCCTTGCGCCGAGGATGCCCTCGCCGCGGGCCCGTACCTCTGGGAGACCGCGCTGGAGGTCGCCATAGGCTGCCGCGCCCCCGCCCCACTGGCGGCCGCATCGCCCTCCTCCCGGGGCTCATTTCGATTCCTCCGACTCGGTTCTGATTCTTCAGATTCCGATCGATTCCGATTCGATTCCATTCGGTCGGTTCGATTCGAATCGAATCGATTCGATTCCGACTCGGTTCGATTCGATTCGATTTCGATCGATTCCGATTCCGATTCTGCAGATTTCGATCCGATGTTCGGTTTCTCAATGGAGGCCTCAGTCTGCCGATTTCCGCCGCTTCGACTTCTTCCGTCTTGGCTGCCGATGTCCGCCGATCCGATTAATTTCGATCGCCGATCCGATCTGTCGATTCGATTCTGGGCTCTCCTGCCTCCAGACCTCCAATGGATTTCGCGTTCGAGGGTCGAGGTATTCGGGCGTCTTCGTCGGTTCTCGGCGATCTTCCAGCGGGCCTTGAATCGATCGGTCGTTTTCCACGGTTTAGGCCGATGATTTGCTTACCCCACCGCAGATTCAAGCTCGCCACTTGATATTTCATCGCGCTAGGCGGACGCGCCATGTCACGAGGTCCCGTGAACCTTTTCTTGGTACGTTTCTACTGAGCCAACCGTTGGTCAGCGCGCGTTTTATCTCACCGAATCGAGCCCGCTGTCAATATTCAAAAACGCACCAAGCACATCGAGACTCGCCAGTAGGGGTCAAATGGAAGTAGTCAAATATCGAATTGTTTTCGGCCAATCTTGCCGCCGTGCGTGGGTGTGGGCCAGACTTCTCAGGGACTTGGGTTGTGGGTCGGACTTCTCAGGAATGCTTTTCGGGGTTTCTTCGGAGAGTATCGGAGGCCTCAGGGCGTAGTGCTGAGGCCTCTTGGGAGCCTCTCGGGGGCTTCTTGAGGGCTATTAGGGGCCTCTTGGGGCCTCCTGGAGGCTTCTTGGAGCCGAGGGCTCGAGATGTCCGTCCGGGTCCCCCGTTTGGGCGCCCTCTTGGAGTCGTCTTGGGGGCCTCGTGGGCCGTCTTGGAGGCCTCTTGAGCCGTCTCGGGGCCTCCTTGGGCCACGTGGGGGCCCTGTTGGAGTTCTGGGTGAGTTCGAGCCAAGCGCCAGCTCCGAGGCGGCAACGGGACCGAACGAGGGCCCGAACAGAGGCGAACGCGCAAGGGCCCGAGGAGGGACACCACGGCGGAGGGACAGCGACCGAGCGAAAACCGAAGCCCGCAGGGACCGCCAGGCAAGGCAAAAGAAGCAGGCACCGTCTCTTTTTTCAGAGACCTACAGTGGAGAAACCCATGCCAAGAAACACCCTGCTCGCCTCCAGGGTCCCCTGGGTCTCTTGGGTTTCGATGGTCTTACTATGGAAAGCGCGACGCTCCCACACCAAAAATCAATGAAAGAGCGTGTTCTACCGCTGCTGGCGGAAAACCGG